ACACAAGACTTTCAGCAAGCTTTTTTCGGGTTTTAAAATTCAAGATGTATCGATTAGAGTAGATGAGTTTCAAACGCAAATACGCTACTCTAGATAAGAAAGAGACATGCCGATCGAATCTCATATTTAAGTCAAGGGTAACACCGAGATTCTTGGCGTAATCCACAAAAGGGATGAGTGTCTCATCCAAAAAAACACAAATCCTCTGCTTCATTTCACGGTAGGAGTTCTTCGAACAGTACAACATTGCAGTAGTTTTATTAGGATTGATCTTCAAGCAGTGTTTGTTACAGTAATCACCGATGTTAGCCAAATCTAAATTAACTTTAAAAGAAACTTCATCAACCTTTGATGGATCGAAACCAAACACTAACTGAGTATCATCTGCATAAGTTTGCATACTACAGTGGACTAAACACTCTTGCAGATCGATCGTATAAATCAGATATAGTAAGGGACCTAATACTGAGCCATGAGGACCTCCTGAAGGAACTGGCTCAGAGGAGGAAATTCCCTGATCAGTTTTCACTGTTTGTTGACGATTTAGCAAGTATGACTCAAAGAACCTTAGAACTATATCTGACATTCCATAATGAGATAACTTACCTAGTAGTATCTGGTGATTGACCATGTCAAAGGCTTTCGAGAAATCTAACAGTACCAAGACGGTGTTGATGTAATTATCTAAATTGTGAATGATGGAATCAGTAAGTTGTAATAAAGATGAAGTAGTGCTGTAACCAGCTCTGAAACCTGACTGATGTAGAGGAAATAAGTGGTTTTGTTCGAAAAACTCCACTAGTTGTGAGTAGACAGCTCTTTCGAGTATTTTTGATAGAAAGCATAATAAGGTAATTGGCCTGAGGTCCGAATATTGTTCTGGATGATTATTTATGAATAATAATACCATTTTTCCAACTGGCAGGAAAGTAACCTGTTTCGAGACAGACATTAATAATGTGAGTTATATGGTCTATGGTATCAGGTAAACATAAGCAAACCATATTTGAAGTTAGACCATCAAAGCCACATGCCGTAGACTTAATGTGAGAGATTATATTGACGATGTCTTGCTGAGTAAGGAGTTTAAAAGCAAACAGAGGTGCATCCGGTGTATGGCGTCTATCGCTATAAGAGTTAGAGACACTATCAATCAAATTAATTTGTATCAGCTGCAGCTGTCTGGAAAATTGAAAGAAAATAATTATTTAAAATGTTAGGCTCAAGGAGACTGGGAGGTATCGCAACATGTTTCTGGGCTACCACATTCATCCTCCTCAGGTGTTTCCAAGCTTGACTAGAGTTAAGATTCCGGAAACGTGACATATATGCTTTTTTCTCTCTTCTAAGCGATGCAAGGGCATAATTTCTCAAATCTTTGTAGCTGGCCCAATTCTGATCAGATCTGTTATGCTGATAGACAGCGAATGCCTCATCTCTGAGTTGAAAAATCATTTTCAAGTTAGGAGTGAGCCAGGGCGCAGCAGGTTTTGTGACACGTACTGTACGTAGCGGAGCGTAGAGATCGAATAGATAAAGAAGACGGCCAGTAAAAATAGAGACTTTAATATCCACATCATTCAGGAAATAAATGTCATTAAGCTGCATTGATGCAATCTGCGTCTTAAAACTTTGAATATCAATGCTATTAAGATTTCTATACGTAGGTATATGTTACAAATTTAGGCTCTATTTTTTTATAACAAACGGAAATATCACAGTATGTGAGCCGATGATCACTAATTGAGTCTGCATTGAGTGTCCCTGACCTTTTGACGATAGTATTGTCACTAACAAATATTGGATCAAGTAATGTGGAACTGAAGGCTCTAACACGTGTAGGCTCATCAATGACTTGAATGAAATTGAATGAATCAAAGCAGCTGCTGAGGATGTTGTTATGAGCAAGCAAGTCGACATTCATATCGCCCAAGAATATAATGTTGTCATATTGGGGAGTGAAAAATGAGATAAGATTTTCTAAACACTGGATGGCTTGATGTATAGAGCAATGTGGTGGCCTATATATAACAACAATTAACATACTGGACCCGTGCAGTTTAAATTTATAGCATAACATTTCAAGAGGATTTATAAAGTCATCGAGCTCAACTGGGATAAGATTAGTGCTAATATCTAATTTAACATAGGGACCGATGCCACCCCCTCTGCTCCCACGGTCCTTACGGAAGAAATTATACCCAAGTATATTGACTACAGTGCTGTCAATACTGGAATGCAGCCATGTTTCAGTGACTGCTACAACATCAAACTTATATTGAACAAAAGAGGCAAAATCATTAAAGTGAGCTGTTAGAGAACGCACATTTAAGTGACATAGTTTCAAGACACTTTTTATAGTGTTAGCCATAATCCACCCTTTCTTTTAGAGTTTGAACATAATTGAGAAACACAGAACAGTTTGGAAAATTAGCTGAATGATCAACTGGTAGAATCTTCTTGTATACCTTGTTATGGTTCAGGCAATTTACGCATTGTAGGGCGCTCGAGTTACACTCCTTGATTTTATGATTTCGCGTACACCTTGGGCAGGACAGATCAGCTTTACAAGATGCTTCAGAATGACCAAACGTACAGCACTTGAAACACTTTAATATGCAAAAGTGATCAGAGATAGGTGACTTTTTCCAACCAGTATATAAAAATCCTGTCTTTAATAATTCCGATCTTAGAGTAGGAGTGACTTCAATTACGATGTTGATTCCGCGGGAGGATTTGAGCTTAGTGACAAACTTAAGTAGAGAACCATCAATGTTGTTGAGAGAAGCTATGTTCGAAATCAAATCATCAGGATTGTCAAGACCATCCAAATTAACGTTTCTTATAAGCAGGCGTGGATGCAGCTTCTTAGCTTCAGATATTGAATATTTAGAACCCAATTTATTCCAAAAGTTATCTTTCAGTGTGCTCAGGAAACTGCCATCTTTGCAGTCCACAGCAATACCATTACGAATTTTTCGAGTATTATTGATGCAAACATTAAGGCTGGCTGGATTAACAGAAGACTTTTACTTCCCTGAGAATTGAGTTCACATCTGCCTCGTTATCAGCCTTAATCAGGAGGGTCGAAGAAATTACTTTAGTTCTCTTCACTACATCGCTGTACTTGCTCGGTCCAGGAATGATAGCAGATTGGTCAGTGCTAACAGAAGGCGAAGAAATCTTCTCATGAGACTCAATGACAGATTTTTGAAGGGACACTGTGTACTGCAAGTCATCAAGATGGTTCTTAGTTATACTAATTTCACGATTCAATTGATCAATTTCCCTCTGCATAGATTCAATACTGATTCTAGTACAAGACGCTTTTGATTGCATTACAATTTTGCAATCGCTGCATACCCAGTGGATGTTATCACAATCTGAAAATATTTTAAGCCAAGCATCTTTAAAGGAAACACAATGGCACTGGAATTTACCGCTACATAAACTGCATTTGACAAGATTGGTTTTAACAATGAAATTGTCCTCGCAGAAGTTACAGACATCTACATCAGGTGCCATGACAATTGAATGGACCTAATATACCTGGACTATCTGTTAGGAAAACAAATGAAGAATGTGTTTTTTGCTCAGCTAACTACAAAACTACATGTGCAAAACTGAATCTACGTGTTAGGCGATTACCGCACAGGTAATAAGGAAAAAGAATCCTGCAAGGTGCTACAGGTTCGAAAACAGCTGAACTATTCAATAATTCACGCACATACACACTTCACATAACAAAGTAGAGACTCAAAAAATTTTCACGGATGTTCAACCCTAGAAATTTAAACTAACATCAACCCGCTAGTCGGTGTGATGTACATATACTCATGAATGGTCACAAGTAGAGAGAAGGTATCTTGAGTGGCCTTGAAGAAGATATATTTTATAGAAAATCAACAGAGAAAAACTACAGTTTTTTGCTGATCGTCAACACCATACTGAATCGCTGAGAAAGAAAGATATAATACGAGTGAAATTATATAATGAATAAACTATTAAATTTTATAAAGAAAATCATTGAAAAGGGTTTGGCCTAGGAATGGGCACTCTATTATCAATGAAGAGACATTCAAATTACTGATAAGTGATAAATAGAAAAAAAAGGTTACGTGATTTTGGCACGTTACAAGGTTTTCAACGTCGCATCAACCGTTTACCTGCTGCCTGACCTATCTCCAATTGAACATGTCTGGGACCCGATAGGTCGCAGGCTCTTGAATTTGCAACACCAGGTCCAATGACACCTCCATACCAAACACCGCACCAAACTGTGACTCGACGAGGATGTAGTGGTCGTTGATGGATGACACGAGGATTCTCTAATGCCCAGATACGACAAGTCTGCTTATTAACAAATCAGTTGTCGGTAAAAATCGTTATTTTTGGGTATTAAGCTGTAATATTGCATGACTGTATTGTCGGCCACTTTCATGGTCACTAGGCTGTAGTTCTTGGCTTAACTGAATTTTGTATGACCGCAAATGCAAGTATTTTTTTAAAATAGTGCATAATGACGTGCGACAAATACCCAGCTCTTAGAACAATGTCTGGTAGATGTCTCAGGGCGCTCCACTATACCTTCACGAACTCTCTCGATATTTTCCGGAGTACGAATAGTTCGAACACGGCCCGACCTTGGCAAGTCCTTAAATTCAACCAACTGATGAATCGTGTTGACACTGGCCACATTATTTCGACCGAAATCTTGTCGTAGCTTCCGAATCGTTGAAACAATCGACTTATTGAAGTAAAACGTTGTAACAATACGCACGCGTTGTGGGGTCGTGTAGCGTTCCATGATGAATTGGACTCATGAGCTTTAAACAACTACTACGGTGCCACCTACTGAAATGAGTCTATCAAAAATGGCGCCCATTTTAGATCAGTCAGTTATATATTGGCCTTCGCAATCTCCGCACCTGATTTACCCAGAATAGGAGCTGAGGAGAGCACAGTTTCGGTCAGATGGAATAAGATGACACGTAGGTTATAATATATATTTATAATATTTATTCTAACATATATTTCCCATAAGTTTCTTTAACATTTGCTCTCTTCTTCAATCACGTCATCGTCATCTTCATGTTTCTTGTCAATCTTTTCTGGATCTTCGTCCGACTCGTCTTCATACTCGGAGTCCAGCTCACGTAGGGTATCCAGTATTTCTTCAATGGTGATTTCATCTTCGTTCTGGTGAACTTGTGTTTCTTGGGTTTGACTTGTCGAAGGCCGAGGTTTCACTGAAAATGTGTGAGATGGATCAAATGATTAACGAGATAAAATCGTATCTATGGTTGAAAAAAGTTTTTCGAATAACTATAGTAGAATACCAAAATTGATGACAGTAGCGAAACTCAACGTACGCCACTGCTATTACGTCGGTAAACGTCGCTGTAATCAAAAGGTACAGCGTCAAAGCAGTGGCGCACGATGACTTCTGCTACTGTCATCAGTTCTGGTATTCGACTATAGTAGATGCTTTTACGAAAAATGAAGTGAATACTTGTTGTAGTTGGAATAATCGGGACAAAATACTTGGACGTCTACTCAACATATGGTGAATAATAATGCAAGTTATAATTCCTATAGCAAATACTCGTCTCAAGGTCGCAATGTTGGTTTGGTTTGAAATGCTTCATATCTTGATGCCTTTCAATTTCCTCGTTAATTAAAGGCGCATGCAAAGGATTGAGGTTCAGACGCCGAATATTTTCAGTCATATTCAAATTATTTTCATAGACAGGAAATTTTGAAAGCTCATACCTTTTTGTGAATCTACATCTACTATAATGACTATACAGGGAAGTTAGTAGTGGATCAACGGAAGTCAGGTGTTACAGCGCCTCAAAACATATCGAATGATCCCCTGTATGTGTGTGGACCGCTTCAATTGCAATTACAACTAAGCCATTAGGTTTAGGGCTGTGATTTTTTTGAGATGAGCTAAATGGTTAGTTTTAGCAGTGGTCATGTCACTTTTCAACAGAGCTAATTAGAAATCAACGAAAAAAGTCATACATTCATTTTTTTTTTGTGAAAAATCTCCTCCATCCCTCAACATTATTCATTTTATTGTAAAAACTATTTCAGCGTATGTAGAAGAAACCCTGAAAATTTCAGCAGTGTAAATAAGCTTGCAAGCAGAAGCTAATGGGCTTACTTTTTTTTCAACTAATCCAGAAGCTGTTGTAGTACTGGAAATTACCTTTGCACATTTCGAATATCGCAGTCGGCTCCGGTTCCTCATTTGGCTTATTAACCTCATGGATCTGAACCTGGTGGATATCCCGCATCATATCCCTCAGTTGATAAGCTGGTCCGTTGAAGATTTCAACAGTTGATCCACTATCCCCCTCGAGTGATGATGCTAATGTAAGATGGACAATATCGATGTCCCTACTATCACAATATTTTTTCCTTCGGTATAGCTGGATGTCGTGTAGTGAGAATAGTACTACCCCTGATACCAATGCTGCCAGAAATATGAGTAACACAGTAACAGCTGATAAAAATCTCGCAAGACCTTCTGAGTAGTACTCGCATCCATTCGCGCCGTGTATCAGACAGAAGAGCACTTCTGAAAGAAAAATTGGAGTTAATTGCTTAGAGTTTTTTATACTTGACTAGTCGTGGAGTCAGAAACCTGAATGCCAAGGTGCCGCGATTACTACAAAGATATATACTAAAACTTGTAAACATTTTTTGCTACCATAGAAGTATTCGCTGATAAAATGTTGAAGCCGTACTTTTTTGTAAAGGCTTTTTTGCCATATCAGGATCCGAACAATATGAACATGTTTAATTAATATTCAGTGATTTTTCTGTGTTGGTTCCATTTGTTTCATTGTTGTTTCATTGCATTATCATGCCTAGAGTTCGCAGATGCGCTAATTTCACTCAACTTTCCGAGTTTGATTGAAACGAAGCTACTGTCATGAGAGGATCATTATTTGAGGCAACTAGCGCTTTCGATTTTCGACAACAAAGTCAGTTGCGAACCAGTGGTTTGATGCTGTCCGAAGAGCAATACAAATGAGGATAGTTTAACGCCGAATAACGCCTTTTGGACTGTTTTCATACCGTCCCCATCTTGTACTGCCTCCGACCCCACAGCATCGTCAGCAACGATTGGTATAGAGTAGGGAGAGACTTGAGTGGAATATGGAATGGAACACAATCGTGTTCAGCGATGAGTCCAGATTCTGTTTGGGCACACAGGATGGCCGTGCAAGAGTAAGGAGGAGACGTGGTGAAAGATCGAACGGCATATTCATCATGGGTGTTATGATATGGGGTGCCATTGCTTACGGCAGCAGGTCACGATTAGTATTCATTCGAGGTAGCATGACTGCCCAGCGCTATATTATATAAGTTTTACAACCACATCTGCTTCCCTTTCTGGAAACATTGCAAGATCCACTTTTTCAGCAGGACAACGCAACACCTCATGTCCCACGTGTTAGTTTAGACTTTTTAGAAGCATTCGGAGTAAATCTGCTCCAGTGGTCTCCTCGATCTCCAGACATTTCCCCTATCGAACATGTATGGGACATGATGGGAAAAAGGTTTCAAAATTCACCGCTTTTCCATAAGCATTGAAACAAGAAGACATCAATCACCTAATCCAATCAATGCCGCGAACAGGGGAGCTTCACCACATCACTAACATTAAGGTGGGATATACAGGGTGACTTTGAAGTTGAGTCATTAATTTTCAGATAATGATTGTAGAAGGAAGATAAACCAAAATATGTGTGTAAAAATAAAAAAAAAATAAAAAAAAATTTTTACCTTGTTTTATAACGTAAAGTATCCTCCCGACAAGTATTTCAGTGCGGACCTGTATTTGATCGTGAGGTCCTCTCTGAGGTCTTAAGTCACCTGATTCACGAGCCCGTTGTACTACATTAACAAAGGCACGAGGGGTTGGTTGCACTCGATTGGGAAACCGATCCGCATAAACATGTGCCATTTTTTATTTCGTTTGAGCCACGCAACAGATACCACCATTCACTGACACTGATTGTATACAAATGAATGAGATACTTGTAAAAACATCGTTCCAAATTCTTTCGCTTTTTTGTTTCCGATGCGATGAACCCATACGGCGGATTATATCCGTTGTCGCCAAACACGACCACATAATATTGTTATTGAGACAGGCGGTACTCAAACTTCCAAAGGGCTATAACTTTGTTACTTTAATTTTACCAGGAAAATGGTAAAGGAAAAAAACATTTCTTTTGATCAGATCTACTCACTGTTAAAATAAATGACTCAACTTCGAAGTCACCCTGTATACAGGGTGGCGCATCGAAAACGAAACAGACGCATTTACTGGCAGCTCAGCTTTTTTTTTGGAAAAACGCTCAGACCCGTCGATTTTGTCTTCGAGGGGGACACAAGTTCGGCAAAAATCGCGTTAACACGTGCAGCCCCCTGGTGGGGGGTGACACCAACCCTAAAATCTTCAATGGAAAGGGGGGTCGAGTGATACCTTATTTTAAAGGTCTTTCAATTCCCTTTATAGTGATATAAAATTAATGTACTTCAGTTGAGTACGAGTAAGATTTATTGATTCAAAGCTTAAAGTAGACTTTAATAGGTGCATCAGATTAGTTTGTACTAGTTTCAGAAGAAATTTGACTAAAAGAATTTACTTAATAAGTAAATGCTTTTCTTCACTACGCTCATGGTTTGTTTATCATTTTCTTGTTGAAAATAGCTATTGGAGCGGTTTTTTGTGGCAAAAAAGTTATTTCTTGAAGAAAGATAAGGACATATCTGGTACTTATTTTAAATAGGAATTTAGTACATAGTTTACGATATATTTGACCAAACTTTGTTGCTAAATTAACTTGTAACACTTTTTTACATAAATTAACCATGGTATATTCCACAGCAGGAAGAGTTGAAATTATCGAAGTATTTTTCGGAAATAATCAGTGCGCTAATAGAACAGCAGAAATATTTAATGAGCGACATGAGAACAGTAACGTGCATCGAAAATATGTTCTAGAACTCCTAGCTAATTTTCGGGAAACTGGGTCAGTTGCCAATAAAAAACGCAACATTGAAAATCCCATAAGGAACGCAGCAATAGAAGTGGGGGTTTTAGGGCAAGTTTATGTAGATCCTACGTTAAGTACCCGCAAATTGGAGAGTGTGTGTGGTGTTAGTCGACGTACTGCCCAACGGATTCTAAAGGCCCATAGCTTTCATCCGTATAAAATTCACCTGGTACAAGAACTTAATGAAGACGATTTTGATCGGCGATTACAATTTTGTGAAGATATGAGTGAACGAATTATAAACGATGAAAGTTTTCTATTCAACACTTGCTTTTCCGACGAATGTTCCTTTTTCTTAAATGGCGTAGTAAATCGTCATAACTGCCGATATTGGTCCGATTCTAATCCCAGAATTTATCATGAGGTTCATACACAGCAGCCACAAATATTAAATGTCTGGGCTGGTATTTTTCGCGATCATTTAGTTGGTCCTTTTTTCTTACCGGGAAATTTGACCGGTGAAATGTATTTGGAATTACTGGAAGACGCCATAGATCCTGCATTAACAGCCATAATTGAACATCAGAATGATCGGCGGTACATTGCGAATAGGTTGATGTTCCAACCGGATGGTGCCCCACCACATTACGCATTACGCGTTCGACAATATTTAGATCAGACGTTTCCAGATCGATGGATTGGTAGAAGGGGTGCCATTGAATGGCTCCCAAGATCGCCAGATTTATCACCTTTGGATTTCTTTATGTGGGGTCATTTAAAAAGCAAAATCTATGCTACTCAGCCAACATCATTAGAAGGCCTGCGACAAAGAATTGTGAATGAGTGCCTTCAAATTACTCCTCAAATCTTTAATATTGCATGGAGAGTCATGGTGACCATTTTCAACATTTACTTGCCTAACGGGTCAGTTCATTCTTCATTTTTAAATTACTTTGCTGGCAAATGTATTGATCTCCACTAATGATGATGTATTACTTTTATTTAAGCTTTAAATCAATAAATCTTCAAAACTACTGAACTGAAGTACATTAGCCCCATGGTACCCAATGGGTGTTTAGGCCTTAGGCCTTCGTGGTAGTTGGAGTATAAAAAAAATTAATTTTATATCATTATAAAGGGAATTAAAAGACCTTTAAAATAAGGTATCACTCGACCCCCCCTTTCCATTCAAGATTTTAGGGTTGGTGTCACCCCCGCCCAGGGGACTGCACGTGCTAACGTGATGTTTTGCCAAACTTGTTTCCCCCTCGAAAACAAAATCGTTCGTTTCCGATGCGCCACCCTGTATATATATTAAAATTTTAATCACTTTCTATTTATCGATAGACTTAAAACTTGTAAAAGTATGCTTATAATTACAGCACTCGTAGTCGGTGTTGCATTTTCTATCATTTAGTATATTAGGTAAGTACCTTTGTGGGGAAATATACCATTATTGGCTGAGCACTTTTAGATCCTGAGACACATGGTGGCAAAAAATATCCGAGGTCAATGATGGTCTTCTGCACCAAGGTATGTATAGATTTTTTCACTATTAAGTATGACGTTACCAAATTTAGTTTGCATAGACTTTAAAATATAGCACATCTGAGAATTTCCTGAAGGTCTTGCAACACTGTCAGAATAAAGCCGAGGCAATGTCTGCGTCAGAAAGCTGTACGTAGGAGAGGCACGCTACCGCTACATGTGAGAATCCGACAAGGATAGAAGGTGTTACGTACATCGACACATCATTCGTTGTCCACTCATTTTTAGACACTCCAATTCATCAAGTAGCATACGGCTTTGAAGCTGTCAAAATAGTGGAATAAATAAATACAAGTAACAGCAATAATTTCACACAAAATAGACTCTGTAATCACATGAAGTCAACAATAGGTAATTATTAGAATATTCAAAAATGGATAAAGGTTTTACTGTTCAAGTTCTGTGCCCAACAAGACAAAGAATTCACACACTCATTATTTACCTAGATGGGAAAATGTGACTTCCCCTTATTTGACTGCGATAAGTAAAATCTATTTCTCAGGTTAGTAATCACAAAACAGCATCTGTAGTAGCTGCCAGTTCTAGATATTCGACAGAGACTGATAGCGGTTTGTTTGGCAGGCCTTTGCGTGGCGGCATCATGAAGGTAGCCCAGAGGAACAAAGCCTGTTGGCACAACGGCAAAATAAAGACAGATCATCGACTGCCCGCCGATGGCTGGAGCAGCTAAAATATCCAACTATTCGATAGTATTCAACTTTTCTTACACCGAAGCCGCCGCACAGGCAGAAGTCTAAATGCCAGGGCACCGCGGCTGCTATAAGGATTCCAAAAAACTTTGTTAATCCGATTTTTGAACTCCCTAAAGCTAGTAGAACTGGGAAAATCCTCCTCTTGTGGATTGTTCCACAATCCCGACAGTCTAGGCGGTCGTATCGACCAGTTCTGGATCTACGAAGTTTGACACGGTTAGGATAGGATGCGGAAGCCAGGCGGGTCTGCTTGGCAGGCACATCGCGCAGTAGCATTATGGAGAAGAGCTCTGAGGAGCAAAGCCCATTGATGTAGCAGCAGCAGAGAGCTAGATCGTCGACGGCTTGTCGGTGCGAAAGGATACCGAGACTGTAAGTTAGTGAGGAGTGATCGATTAGTCGGACAGCCCTCCTCTGAACAGGATCGAGCATTGATAATGTAGTCGGGGCGGCAGCAGCCCAAACATGTGAGCAATACTCAAGGCTACGTATATAGCATTTATTAGCCCCAAACAAATACCCTAGCTAGCTGCGAGATGTGTTCGAGTCAGATCAATACCTCGTTGATCTGGACCAGCCGAAGTGAATCGCTCTTTTGGCAGAACTCAGTCATCAATCGAAACCGGATGAGCGCTAGCACGCTTTTTCTTCGTCAAGGTACAGTACTGTGTTTTGGAAGCATTTTCTCCATTTTTTTAGAGAGCTTCCACAATAATTAAACGTTGCTCCTTTGAATACTGCTCCATGACAGCTGTCATCAAGTAAACACCATACCATCTGTACAAAAAATATGTTTCCGCACTTTCAAATTAGTTCCTGTTTTCAATCATATAGATGTGAGCTTTTATGTTTATATGACGAGTTTTATACAGGGTGTTAGGGAAATAATATTCGTAGCTTTAAGACGTGATTCCTTGCATTATTCTGAGCAAAAAGGTTCATTATAACCTATGTCCGAAAATCAACCGTTTCGGAGCAAAAAAAAGCTGAACTTATTTCTTTTTGGTCATGAAATAAAATAATTTTACACCTTAATAATTTAAATTTATATGCCTAATAGCGTAAAATGTATCAATACATCTATTTATTAATTAACTGTCTCTCTGTCTGTCTTTCTTGCTTATTAAATACAATTTTCCGAAGAAAAACAGCAAACAAAATCCCTCACAAAACTGGCAACGTCGTACTCCGTCTGCACTGCATGCATCATCGCGTGTTGCCCACGACCGACATCGTATATAAATATCTACATCGGGAAAAACGTATTTGATAGTTTCTTGCATACGTTAATGCATGTAATGTATACCCGAACTGAAATCACATTTTATTATTCAGTATGTATTACTGTATGAGTGCATGCATTTTGCTACGAAAGAGATGTTTTCAGTACGCGAGTATCACGATATGCTTATTATTTACGGAGAGGCTCATTGCAATTCTGAAGAGGCTAAGCGCATTTACGAAGAAGTAATTTTCTTGCTTATTAAATACAATTTTCGAAAGAAAAACAAACAATACAAAATCCCTCACACAACTGGCAACGTCGTATTCCAGCTGCACTGCATGTATCATCGCGTGTTGTTGTGATTACTAATACATTTAATTGTAACTTTATGTGATTTACGAATGTTGTTTTTTTCTTTTTTTCGTGCATCGCATCGTTTAAAAATTGGTGGTGTGTATCGCCACGTTCCGGTAAGTTCTGTCATTTTTTTTAAGTAAATGTATTGTACTGAAAGCGTTATTCAATAAAATATATTAGCCACTAAAAATTGCGTAAAAGTATTCAATAATTCGAGGCATATTTTCAACAAAAATATCATACAAACGTAAACCATTCGATGAATCAGTTGCGGTCGTCGTGCGTTCGTATCGCGGTTGCGTTACAGCGTTGCCAAATGTTTGAGAAAATTCAATTATTTATGACTCACTTTCCTCGAAAACGATTGATTTTCGGACATAAGTTATAATGAACTTTTTTGTTTGGAATAATGCAAGGAATCACCTCTTAAAGTGACGAATATCATTTCCCTATGAATTTATTTATTATTTATTTTTTGTCCCTTTTTTGGTTTCGTTTTTTCCTAATTTAAGTATGACTTGTTCTATATCTCATTGAGATCAGCAGGATGAATAAAGGATTTGAAATTTGAAAGGAGGAACAGTGTCGGGAGTACCAGGAGTCAAGAAGCTGAACTGGATATGAATCGATCATCTCAGAAGAAGAAGTAGAACGCACATCCCTCAAGCTTTGGCTTCACATTTTTTCTGTCTCAGCTAGCAAAACCTTATATCAGGGTAAAGTCTATTCAACTACTTGGTAAGCACTCGCAGTACTCCAGTATTCAGGTTTCGCATTGACGACGAAATATTATTGAGCTGCAAAAATATGTTTTTAAACTAATATTACCTGCAGTGAAGTAATAAATACTTCTGACTATAAGATAGGGGATAATTCCGACGAAAGTAAACTGGAGACCAATGGCTAGTGATGTGTCCTTAGAGTCGACACTTTTCATGTTTAGCATAGTGTTACTCATAAACACCGATGCCATTAGACCGGTAATTATAACATTATGTACTTGACCCATTGATTGCACCAACTTGCAATTGTGTTCATTCATAGAGGTGTCTATGATTCTGACATAAGTAGCGTTGCCCAGTATCTGGAAATATTTGAAAATATGGTAGATGTGTCAGAGTTTTCATTGCAAGATAACATTTTCATAAATGGTGGATGCGCAGTTAAAAACGAAAGGTACCAATTTAATTTCCTCTCACAGTCACTGTTTTCCTATATTATCGTTGTAAATAATGTTGAAAAATCTGCAAAAAATTTAAAATTGAAATACAGTCAAAATCACGAAAGATGACTTTTACGTCATACCATAAATTGTACTGAAGTAATCGGACGCATGTCGATGATAAAATCACGATGTCAGGAACACATTATGACAATAAATTTATATTATGATTTTGCGAAGTTAGGTTATTTTACTGATTATTTTTATTTTCATTTTATTTCATGGTTTTAATAATAATTTTAGTGGGAAGTTTTTGTTTTGGAAAACACAGTTATGAGTAGAATACACCCTGAGACAGGAACACCAAAGACCAAAGTATTATTCAAAAACAACCTAACCTGCTTTAACATAACCTAACTATTCATCTTTCAAATATGATCGATCATGCAACATGAACACATCATCTATCTTTGTCGGATACACGCAAATTAGCAATACAGCTTGTTTAGACAATAAAATTATGTTTGTCTATGTCTAACATATCTGAAACTTCATTAAAAATATAGACAAATCGCTGTCGTTTGTCTTTACTACAGACTAAAATGATGCCGTAATCGTCATCTTTCGTGATTTAGACTATAGCAACGTTCCTAGGAATTTAAACGAAATGAAATCGTTCAGAAAAGTACGGTTGCATCTAATAAATAGGGACTAGCCCAGTGGTCGCCAACCTTTTCTTTGTGTTCAATCCTTTGATAATTTTGGAATACACAGTGAGCTATCTAGTCGTAAGCAATGAAGTCAACTTAAATGAAATACACAGTTGTATACTGATATATACTAATGAACTTAAATAAATTAATAACGAATACATATTACATAACAACATTCATTCCTACCAACAGTAGCTGTTTGAAAAATATCACATGGGTGATATGCATAAAGGCGAGTGGCTACTTTTGACTCGCATTTTTAAAGTAGCCACTCCATTTGATATGCATAAAAATGTAAGTAGAAGCTCACACTCATAAGTTTCTACTCTTTCCGTGAGGCTGTACTCGCTCCTTGAGTGTCGACTTTAATTTTTATATGCATAAAAGTGAGCGTCCACTCCGACCGCTGAGTACATACTTAAAGAAATGCGAGATACCTTAGTAGTAAGCTTTATAAGAAGTGGATGTGTTCACGAAATGGCCGAATTTATGCCTATTTATCAGCCTTCGAAGGTATTTAAAGATCGTAGGGAATCAAGGGAAGAAGACTATCGGGCTTTATATCGGTTTCGTAAGGTTAATGTTGAGCGGATAAGTAACCATTTTCTTGGAGAGATAGAAGAATATAGGGGAGGTGCTTTGAGCCATATAGAAAGAATGAGGGTTTTTTACGATATGTGGGTGATGTAGGATTTCACATTGGCATAGGAGAAGATATTGTGCAGTCGAATATTTGGATTAGATTCCCAACCTCATGTGAAGATCTACACAATGCTAAAAATAAGTGGCAAGAAGTTCCATTTTCCTTCAGCTATTGGTGCTATCGACTGCACCCATATACCTATTCTGAAGCCGTTTATTCATGCAGACGAATATGTGAACAGAAAGAACTTTGCTAGTATAAATGTACAAGCAACGTGCAATTCAAACGAAGAGTTCACAAGTGTGGATGTTTCTTGGCCAGGATATGTACACGACTCTCAGATATGGAAGAATTCTGATATATACAACGTTATGAAATGGAATAGGACTAGTGCTGTTCTGTTGGGAGACTCTGGGTATGGTTTAGCTCCTTGGCTCATGACTCCTTTTAGGATTGCAGAAACAGCGGAATAAAGATCATACAATCGGCTGTTTACGAGAGAGCGAGTTATAATAGAGAGATGTTTCGGGCAACTAAAACAGCGTTTTCCCATTCTACATAACAAAATATGCGTCGATACAGAAAAAGCGCCCTCCCTTGTCATGAGTTGTTTTATCTTGCATAATGTGGCTAAGCACCTTAATGATGAAGATTTTGCTGTTGGTATACCGGGAGATGGCGAACAAGAAGAAATCCATAATCAACATGCTGCCGACTATGCAGATGGAGTGATACGTCAGAGAGGTCAATTTAGAAGAGATGCAATATCAAGAATTATTCATGGCTTTCGGGTCTAAGTAAGTATCTAGCATGATCCAGATTTACAAAGTATGTAGATATACGTTAAAGAACGATGTTTAATGACTCATAACAAAATTAATAACACTTTCAAAATGGTAACTTAAGAGAAAGTTCTTAAAACTAATAAAAAATAACATTTGTGAAACATGAAGTATTTCTGTCAGTTCTGTCCTGGAAATAGGCTCATGGAAATTGGATTTCCAGTTTCTGCACTTTCATTTAAAGTTGATAAATTTGGATCAGATTCATTAATATTTCTCTTGTGAAGTAGCAGTTCCTTAGCTAGCCGAAACACTTGCAGTTGTTCAAGTAAAACGAGACGTTGGAGCTCTGTTATTGATAAATCTCGTGTTTCATCGGTTTCCACTAATCCTCGTTTTCCTTTTTTTTAGAAGGCTCCTTACTGGGTCCATCTTTCATTGTGGTAGCTTTCAGTACTGGTCCTGAACTTCCAGATGCTTCTTCGGTGATTGTTTCTTTTTCAGCACAGGCTGTTGGAGTGTAATCAACGCTTTTTTGTGGGCAACCTGCCACAACACCTAAAATTTAAAATATATGCTATTTATATTTATTGACGTGTATATATATTATACTCAATCACATCTTATACCTACTGTATGGAAAAACAAAAAAATACAACTAACATTGCAATCGAGAAATACTAGGATTTGATTCTCCTTGTAGAAAATTGAACAGTTCTTGTTCCCATCATGTCAATTTTATTGGTTTGTTTCTGGTTTGATTTCTGTCTGTCTTCGCTTTTAATCTGGTTTTTATGTTTTGAATCTTCTTCCAAATCTGCCCTTCATTATATTTAACTCCTAATTCGGCTTCTACCCTTTCTGTTATTTCTTCAACCGCCTTACGTCGTTTATTTTTGATTTCCGGGATGTTAGATTTTTCCGACAAAACAGGATACTGTTTAATTCTATTAACAAATACTGTTTGATTTTCAGATGAATGATCTTCAGAATAGGTTGACATCATGTAAATGAACAAATAATAATCGACCTAAACACCACCGACACAAACGTTTACCGGTATACAGTAGCAACTGCTCGCAATAGAGAAATTGCCAATTCGGCGAGACAACAAAATACAAGTCGGAACTCGAAAACCAGAGTGCCTACTCAAGTCATTAGCACTTGAGTAGCCTCTCCGTTTCTTGACAAATATTTTATGCATATCAAAACCGAGCAGGCTCTCCCTAACAGGAGTAACTACGCTACAATATGGAGTCGCCAGTTCTGAGAACCCGCTCACCTTTATGCATATCACTCAATGTTTCGTGAGCTACAATGGCATGTCACATACGATTTAATAAAAATAACTAAAAATGAAAAAAGCAACGTGCTATTTTAAACAAAAACATGTCCTGATAAAAAATGCGCGTTCAATGAGAATTTTCTTAATGTTTGGAGTATGATTTGATACCGCCATTCGAATACATTCATTATCCAAAAGTCGATTACAGTATTTGTTTTTAATAAACTTCATATTTGACAAAGAAGATTCAAAAATAGGTTGAACTAAATAATGCTTTCACTTTCAAGTCAACACGATATAAAACATAATTTTTTTCATCACCAGATACATTTTGTATTTGAGATTAATGCAATTACTTCCTTTTCTGTCGCAGCGATGTCTTCGCTAAAATTCTGCGTAGCATAAGCTGCTAACCATTGTATATCAACTTCCATGAAGAGTGAAACAACAAGTTGTGGCACTATAGCAATTCCGTTGAAATCCTTGAAACGATTTTTGAAGTTGTCCTTTAAGCTAGAGACTATTTCTACATGATATTTACTGTCATATGGTTCTAATTGACTTTGAGATATCTTTTTTGAAAGAACAGTAAAATGCCTGTTATCGCCATCGATTAAGCTTTGTTCCCAAAACTCAAGCTTTTTCATAAACGCTTTTATATCAGAAATCGTTTCTGCTAGTTCATTGTCTCTTCCCTGAAGCTGCAAATTAAGCTCATTCAATTTTTCTGTGATATCCACAAGAAAACTACAACCTCTAAGCCAGATTGAATAATCTTCTTTGTAACGCTTGAGCTCTAATCTTGTTCACAATTTTTACAACCAATTTCATAACGTTGTTTAGTGTTAGAAAATATCCACAAAATGCTTGCTGATGGATAATGCAGTGGTAACAGAGACATTGCTGAAAAATTTAATCCTTACGACATAACCCCACGAGATCCTTATCACGACGCACCACAGCTGGAGCGCCATCGGTTGTCAAGCCTACCATTTTCGATATTGGAATCTTCTCGGAAGAAATAATATTTTTAAAAGATTCATGCCCAGTAGTCTATCATTTTTGTGGAATAAACTTCAAAAGATCTTTTTTTAAAATCATATTTGACAGGAAGGTATCAATCGATTCTATCATATTTTCAGACAAAGCGGAGATCATATCGGGAGTTCCTCAGGGATCAATATTGGACCCCTTGTTATTTTGAATCTTTAAAGTTTTGTAAAGTTCAGGCCTTCGCGGATGACACCCAGGTTTATTGTTTTTTTGATGTTGAGGATTACAAATATTACGAAAATTGTATAAATGAGGACATTAACACCTTGAACAATCTCTCATTAAGTCGCAAGCTTAAAACTTAATCCGGAAAAATCGCATGTAATGATTTTTGGTAACAAATCTAAGATTTTGAAAGCTAATCTCAATATAATGACTAATAATTCAAAATTGAATTTTGTCGAAAGTACAAAAAATCTCGGTATAGTTTTAGATTCTCAGCTTAGATTTAAAGATCACCTAAAAAATCTTATGCAAAAATCATTTTGTTCTCTAAAAGTTTTCTATAATAACAGACACATACTAAACAGATCACTAAAAAAAAAGTGTGAATTCCTAATTCTTTCCAATTTCAATTATTGCGATTTTATCAAATGGGTTTTGCTTAGATAAGGCAAGTAGAGGTCGTATTCAGAAGGTGCAAAATGCGTGCCTCAGGTTTATCTATGGTCTGCGTGGGTTTGATCATATATCAATGGCTAAAAATAAATGAGCGTCGCACTCTCCATTTTTCTAGTTTCTTATTAAAAATTATAATCACTGCAGGTTCACCTGATTCTGAAAGAGAACGCCTAATTTTCCGACATTCTGTTCACGATATAAATGTAAGATATTTAAAAAAATTAACAATTCCGCTTCATAGTAGTGCATTGTTTCAACGATCATTCTCATACAATGCTGTTAAACAATTTAATTCAATTCCCAACCAGTTCCTTAATCTTTCTCTTTCAAGTTTCAAAATACAATATAAGAAATATTTGCTAAATACAAATCAGAACAAACTTTTTTAGAATAGAGATTGAAGTTTATAATATAGGTATATAAGTAGAAAAAATATGTCAAGCAAATTTTATAGTAACCAGTATCCAAATTTTATAGTTACCAGTATTAATTACCTAGTATATTGTTGAAATTTTAATTTATTTTCAGTCTTGTTAGTGTTAACAGAAGTTAACATTATCAAATAATGAAATAATACCTTACAGCTAAAAATAACAAACTCCATCTTTATTTATACTGCAGATTTTATTTTACTTTATGGTCGCTTTTCTCTAAAAAAATGCCATTTTGACCCCCATGTTATATGAAAAATTTTGCTCCATCTTTATTTATACTGCAGATTTTATTTTACTTTATGGTCGCTTTTCTCTAAAAAAATGCCATTTTGACCCCCATGTTATATGAAAAATTTTGCTTCGTTTAACCCTCTCTATCACGCATTTAAATAATGACTATCATGCCGTTTACACCCTGTATTTCACAGTCCTTTCATCACCACAAACTATAAAAAATATCAATATTGTTTTCTTTTAGTAAATAAAAGGGTGCATAACGATAGAATATGGCTTCAACAAAATGGTGCACCTCCGCATTACACTTGAAATGTTCGCGAATTTTTCGATCAAACATTTCTTGGAAGATGGATAGGTAGAAGAGGTACGATTGAATGGCCACCTCGGTCTCCTGACCTCACACCCCTCGACTATATTTTGTGGGGGCACAAAAATGTAGTATACAAAACCAAATCATTTGATTTGGAGGAACTAAAATAACGAATAGGAAATGAATGCAGAAGAATCGATGTCTTCAAAATGTTCTAAACGCATTTCCGCAATATCTAGCTCATCGCCAAGAAGCATATGGACGACAGTTGGAACATTTAATATGATTTTTATCTTGTTTTGAGTTTAAATTAATAACTAGGTTTTATCGTTTTCTTTGTTTTTATTCTTTCTCTTGTTCCCTTGGAATATCAAATACACTATTTTTGGTTTTAGTTAAATATACTAAGTGACATATAAATCCGAACACCCAGTTTAAATAGTTTTATTTTAATAAAATTTTGTATAAGTACTTAATGAAGCATAATAAGTAAATGATAAAAATTTCAAAATGATTGCACTACTTTAAAGCCCTTTGATCTTTAATAATGTGTGGATGCACCCTGATGTGCTACGCATTCTCCAACGCGCCTAGGCATGCTTCTGATCAGGTGTTCAATGTCCTCCTGTGGTATCTCATTCCAGGCAACCACCAACTCCTCTTGAAGTGCTTCTAGAGTCTGAGGAGGACGTTGCAAATTGAGCAATCTCCTACCCATCATATCCCACACGTGCTCAATTGGGGATAAGTCGAGAGATCTTGGTGGCCATGGTAACAATGTGACATCATTATGTTGAAAAAAATCTATTGTGACTCTTGCAACATGTGGTCGGGCATTATCTTGTTGGAAAGTTGGATCTGCCAGGGCGTCAAGATAGGGTAAAAGATGGGGTTCTAGAACTTCGTGGATATAACGCTGCGCGTTCATGTTACCTCTGATGAAGATTAAAGGTGACCTGGAACCATAAGCTATAGCACCCCAAACCATAACTCCAACAGTATGATGAACATGTCTTTCAACAAAAAACTGTGGATTCCTCCTTTCACCACGTCGCCTTCTAACCCTGGCACGACCATCGTGCATGCCTAAACAAAATCGAGACTCGTCACTAAAGACAATACTGTTCCATTCCTGATCCCAGAGTGACCGTTGTCTGCACCACTCAAGGCGATTACGTCGGTGTTCTCGAGTTAAAGGGAGGACCCAGTGTGGCCGGTATGAAAACAAGCCAAAGCTTCTCATTCGTCGGTAAACACTTCGCATGCCAAAAGGTCCTCCGTGTTCTGCAAACCATTCATTTTGCAATGGACCTGGTAGTGGAGAAACGGTTCCTTAAGGCCAATAATCTTAGGCGGCGATCTTCACGGTCTGTTGTTCTACGGCGGCGTCCAGTGCCCCTTGCTCTTTGCGTACGGCCTTCTCGAAGCCATGCCTGACAACACCTAACCACAGTGTCTACACTTCTTTGCACTCTAACTGCAATTGCCCGAAAAGAAAGTCCAGCTCCCCGAAGTCCCACTATACGGCCCCTATCAAACTCACTAAGTTGACGAAATCGTACAGGTCTCCGTACTCTAGGCATCGTAACCGATCGTAAAGGATGTCAAGAACCAAAATCCGCCAACGTTGATTCTTTACTGCGGCTGAAATATTCATTTTTAGAGCGTTAGTGAATTAAAAAAAAGCAGTATAAAAACCGGAATGTCCAACTGATAAGGCTGAAAATTTTTTCACTTGTTATTTACAGTAAGATAAATACATTCACCAACTTTTATTAAAATAAAACCATTTAAACTGGGTGTTCGAATTTATATGTCACTTAGTATATATCATATTGTATTAATTCTTCTAACAAAATTCAATGGACTCTTCAATGTCAGAAATGACAGGAAATTATTTTCCATACCGAGCATTGCTTAGGTGAAAAAAATACCTTTCATTGTTATTTCGAAAACTATGAGGTCTACGTCAAATTATGTTTGATTTCTCGCAGAACACAAATATCGAATAAAATGTTCATTACATAAGAAAAATAAAATTTGCTATCAGTTTCAGGAAAACTTTAGATTTGGCAACATCGCGAATATCATCAATGGATCCGCCTAGCAATTTAAAAAAAATAGGTGAGTCATTTGTCAGGTATTTGATGTGTTCCAGACTGTTGTTACACACTGTTTGTAATGGTACGGCATGGAACACAGGATGAAAGTTTTTAATACTTTCTGTAAATCTTTCAGAGTAGTTGAAAATTGGGGAATAACCAACCTAGTTATGAACTTCAAACCTACCTTGACTTCGTGATCATCCACGCATTCCCAGAATACTGTCATTGAAAACATCATACCAATCAACAGAAAAATAATTATATTCGAAGTAACTAACTCTTTGGCCCTTGGTTTAATTTTAGCCATGACCAGCCCAGTAGTCATCGAGAAGACTGCCACCATTGGTTGTTCCAGGAGCTGGCTTGTGAATTGGTCTCTGTCTAAACCGTTGAAACTTGTAGCAAAAGGATGTAGTGTCGAGTGATATTTCGATTGGTTGAAACCGTTCTCGAATAATCGGAAATTGATCAAAGCCGTCTGGATCAGTGTGTATGCCAGTAGGTTCAATAGCAAAAATTTGTTTTTCAAGATTCGTCTTATGCTTTTGAAAAATCCTGAAATTGAGGTGCCATGTTAATCTGATCGCTAAATAGTCTGATCATGTTAGCAAATTTCCCCGAAATAATTGTAGAGTCTGGTTTTATTGGTGCAACTTGTACAAGAGGGTATTTAAAACATGGAAGCATAAAATGGGTACACCAATTTTTGTGGGAAAACTTTTTATTTGATAACAAAATATGAGAAAACGTTTTTTGTTGACAGGAACCAAAAAAACTTTCCATATGAGATTTTTAGGTATTTATGAAGCCTACAAAGTGAGACCACACGTAAAAAGATCCGACTAATAGCAAAAATGTTATGGCCGAAAAACGAGGCAAAAAGGTTTTGGCACTTGTCGGTAATGCGACGATGATTTCAAGCAACTACTTAAAATTCTACAAATCCGTAGGATTCATACTTCTAAATAACAACAACAAAATTGGAGTATATTGGCCTTTTAAGCATTCTTAATTGTTTATCCCAAAACACCTGTTTTCCGGCCATCACTGCTAGTGAGCAATATACCGGATTCGTTCAAAGAGCATTTAATAGCAAAAACACGTGAATCACAAACCATTCAGAAAGATAAATATTATTTTTATGTGAAAAACAAAGGTTACGTTTTTGTCTTCTAAGCAAATTCAAACATTTCGTATTTGTGACTAATTGAACAAATGCGCTACGATATTCAAAAAACATACATGACTATACGCATTTTAAAACAAATCGGATCTGTCTATCATCTTTTGTCGCGAATTACTCACAAATACGAAATGTTTGAATTTGTTAGGAGAAAAAACGCAATCCATCCTTTTTTGCATGAAAATAACATTTATCTTCCGGAATGCTTTGCGATTCATATCGGCAAGGTATACTAGTGTATTTTCCTATAAAATGCCCTTTGAACTAATCCTGTATACTGCTCAATAGACTAGTAGTGATGACCGGAAAACAGGGTTTTGGGATAAACAGTTAGAAATTCTCAAATCTGCTTGACCAATCCACTCCAATATTTTTGAGGTTGTTTAAAAGTAGGATACCTATGAATGTGAAAAATTCCAAATTTTTGTGAGAAACCATCGGCCCATTACCAACAAGTGCCAAAACCTGCACTATGCCTCGGTTTTCGGCCATAACTTTTTTGCTATCAGTCGGATTGTTTCACGTGTAGACCCATTTTGTAGGTCTAATAGATGCCTAAATATCTTATATGAAGAGATATTTCGTTCCTACAAACTCTTTCGATTGAACCCCAAAAAACACGTTTTCTCATTCTTTGTTGTCGAATAAAAAGTTTTCTCACAAGAATTGGTGTAAACATTTTATGCGTCCATGCTTTGAATACCTGACTTTAAAATTATTTCGCAAACCAGGGGTGTTTTCGTCTAATATGATTAGACTAAAATGAAACCACAGATGTATGGAAATTGGTATACTATGAATTAACTTGGTATAAAGTGAAATGATTTTCTCAACATATGTGGTCTTATTTAGCGGCCAGATCAACTTAAAGATTTTTTACGAAAATAATGTGGATATCAATACAGGGTGTTCATAAAGTTGGGACTTTCGATAACGCAGCGTATAGTTTTGCAAAAATAATCATATTTTCCTAATAATCAAAATCTCAAGTCTGCGATATCAAATCTGACTGTATATTCAGCAAAGTATAGGGTGTCCAGTGGGACACGTTCGGCGTGCGGGTTAAATACTCACAATGGAACGTTGGACCGGGGCGCAACGTGCTTTTGCTATCGAAGCTTACTTTAAGAGTGGTGAATCATATGCCCATTTTCACTTAGACGGTTATGTGAACAAGCAAAATTGCAGAAATTGGGTTCCACCGAACCCAAAAGAGAAACATCAACAATAGCTACATAGTCCAAAGGTGACTGTTTGGTGCGCCATATCCTGAAAGCACTTTTTCCTCAAAAAGTTATATCGAAGTTTCGAGCCATTCACTGGCCTCCTAGGTCACCAGACCTCACGCCATGTGATTATTTTTTGTGGGTTATCTAAAGTCGAAGATGTATTGCAATAATCCACGAACACTGGAAGAGCTTAAAGACAACATTCGACGAGAAATAAACAACATCACTCCGGAACTCTACAAGAGAGTGTTTCAGAATTTGCGCGCGTGATTAGAAAAGTGAATCCGACAGCATGGCAAATATTGGGACGGAAAGATATTTAAGTAATAAAACCCGCCGAATTTACAGATATGTTTATAGTAATAAATAATTTATTTTTATGTTTGTTTTTTTTTAAATTAAAAAGTGAACTTTCCCCCTGGACACCTTTTGGTTAAAAGATACGACCTAAGTCAGTATCCGATCGAGACGCTGTGCGCGTAATGAGTAAACCGAGCTGTTTGAACGTAAATTGTATTTTAAAAAAATTCAGAAAGGCAATAATGTGGCTGTTGATTTGGTGTTTACGGTTAAGGTCTTCAAGATAATGCTGTAGCATTGCGAGTGTTTTCAGATCGTTCTCCTGGAGGTTCGCGTTGTGTTTTTGAATACAACAGCGATAACTTCTAAAAGTATTTAAAAATATGTGACAGGTTGATACTGACATTTTTATCAAATACTTCTCTTTAAATCGTTCTAGTTTTCGCTTGAGTTTTATCGCTCATTAGTTTTATTATTTCAAACTTAGGCGCCTCTGGAATGGAAAGCTCCAGCTTTCACAACGCCGTATTTATTGCGCGGGCTATAAGTATGTACAAAACAACGAATACCATCGACTAAGTCTTCCTGGTTAGGGTTGGGGTTCCTTCCAGTAACTTCGGTGACCAGAGAATCTACTGATCTTTCCCTTGCAAATTGCGGTAGCTCTTTTGGAAACAGTATTATCACGAGTCCAAATAAAAGAGTGAATGCAATCATCCAAAACCAAACTGAAAAACATGTAACTCTGTATTCAGTTATAGTGCAGTATAAAATCAATAATTGTCATCTAGCTATCTTATTAAAGATCTTAACCTACATCCTAGAGTGCAAACTTACCTACAGTACCAAATATGTTTCTTCTTAATACGTATGGACACCAAGCACTATATATTCCTACCTGATTACCAACTGATTTCGCCGCAATTACAACTCCTACGAATATTTATTCTATACAGGGTGTTCCTTAATGATATGCGAATATTTAAGGGTATCAATCTACATGAAAAATTAATGTTAGTTTGCTTTATAAACTATGGTCCAAAAATATTTCCTTACAAAAACTCGGGGTGTTGAAGTTTTAGGAAAAAAAATGGAAATTAATTAATATTTTCAGAACCGCTTCACAGATATTTAGTACCTAGTGAAAGTTGATAAAGTTGCATACTTTTCAATTCAAAATAATTTTGGCGTGCGTACGGGTATTGACTTCGACATTTTTTGAGAAAAAAATGGTACACCAATGGTTTTTTGCCAAATAAAAATTATTATTGAATTCCCCGTGCAATTTAAAACAAATGATCTCTCTTTTTGAGTTAAAAAAATAAAAACCGTTCTATTGTCCGAAAAAATTAATGTAATAATTCAAGAATGCAATTTAGCAATAAATATCTAGTTGCTCTGGAACATGTCACTGGCTTTTGACATCTGACAAGTTTCTGTTATTCAAATCTGTTCGCTGTGACATCTTTTCATGATTTTGTTAATAATAGTGAACTATTCAAATGCATAAATGGCGGAAATGCATTACGTATATGGCCTTGCCGACGGTAATGGTGAGCAAGCCAGACGGATTTATCACCAGAGATATCCCGATCGTGCTTTGCCAGATAGTCGAACCTTTTCTAATATTCATCATCGTCTTGTTGAAACTGGTTCTGTCCGAAAAGGAACATCTGAAGGTAGACCTCTAAGTGTGAGAACACCTGAAATTGAAGAAGCAGTGCTGCACGAAGTCGAAGAACATCCTGAAACGAGTACGAGGAAGCTCGCTAGATACTTAAATATTTGCCATCAAATTGTTTGGAGAATTTTAGTGGATTTTTTGTTGTATCCTTACCATATTTTAAGAGTACAGGCATTACTTCCCATTGATTTTCCAAGGCGTGTGATTTTTTGTCAGTGGTATCTTCAAAAAATTACACAAAATCCGCAATTTGAATCAATGATTCTGTTCACGGACCAAGTTAATTTTTCTCGAAATGCCATTCAGAATTTCCACAATAATCATTTGTGGGCAGAAAAAAATCCCTATGCCGTAACCGAAACCCATTTCTAACACCAATTTTCGGTTAACGTATGAGCAGGAGTTAATGGCAACCACTTTATTGGCCCATTCTTCTTGCCGGGACGACTTGACGGACAGACTTACCTCAATTTTCTTCAACAACAGTTGCCTTTGCTGCTTGATGATGTTCCGTTAGTAATAAGAAACAATATGTGGTACATGCATGATGGTGCACCAGCGCATTTCAGTGTAGCGGTTCGTAATTATTTATAAACTATTTATCAAAATCGTTGGATTGGCCGCGGTGGGTCACAAGAATGGTCACCAAGGTTCGCAGACCTCAACAGTTTAGATTTCTTTTTGTGAGGCTATCTTAAGACACTAGTGTACACAAGTCTCATTAACACTGTAGAGGAATTAAGAGAAAGAACAGTTGCAGCTTGAGATAAAATAAAAAACACTCCAGGGATATTTCAACGAGTGCGCAATTCCATGAGAAGGAGGGCGGAAGCACGCATACTAAGTGAAGGGGGCCATTTTCAACAATTTTTGTAATCATTTCGTTGGTTTTAATGTTATGTTTATGTTGTCAGTTGTTGTTGTTCATTACCCCTAATGCGTTTAATTTTTCCAATTAAATTAATAATAATTTTGCAAGTTAGACAATTGAATGGTTTTCATTTTTTTACTCAAAAATGGCGCATCGAAGGAAAGCAACTCGAGAGAGATTATTTCTTTTAAATTGAACGGGGACTTTTATTTGTGCAAAAAACTATTGGCGTACCACTTTTTTCTTCAAAAATATTGAAGTCAATACCCGTACGCACGCCACTGTTAAAGTTAAAAATTATTTTTGCATTGAAAAATATGCAACTTCGTCAACTTTCACCACGTACTAAATATCAGTGAAATATCTGAAGCGGGTCTGAAAATATTAATTAATTTCCATTTTTTTTCCTAAAACTTCAACAGCCCGAGTTTTGGACCATAGTTTATAAAGCAAACTAACATTAATTTTTCATCTAGATTCACACCCTTAAATATTCGCATATTGCCACAATTTACAATTTTTAAAAAACTCAATAATTAGCGCAACACTGACTCAGATCTAAGGGCCGAATGCATAGTCTGTAGTTCACTTCAAGACTTAATATAAAAACACCTGTTTTTTGGCTTTGTTACTTGGGAGCTGGTGTTACCAGGAGAGTTCTGCAAATTCTGATAACACTCCGTATTTTTTAGAAACAAAGAAGCCTTGAGATTGAGGTGTGTCAAGGTAAGAAGATGTTAAATCGAAAACGTTTTCTTTTACCTCATACGCCACAGGGCAAGGAGGTATTGGAACCGCGAAGAAATTGGAAAATGAGAAATTATGTTTTTTGGATATTACTGGACATGTAGATTACGGAAAACCATGTAACTTGTTTCCGTCGGTCTGTTGGTTTGTCTGTCTGTCTATCCGCTAATCTATGACCCTTCTATAACTTGAAAAGGACCGCTCGGCTTTTGATGAAATTTTCACACAACTAAATATTCGGACACCTTTATATTTTGACCAAATCGTCCTATAAAATAACTGAACAAGATTGTAAACTTGTACCGAAAACTTTTATTGGTAGTATATACAAATTGTGATATATTTTCAATAGTATCATGTTTTCCTTGATAATTAATTTCAATGAAAAAAAAAACTTTACAAAAATATATGGCAACTAAAGATTCTGTTTGTTTTAAAGTAATACATTAATATGAAAACAGAGGTGCCGCTATGGAAAACCCAATACAATACAATACATTATATTACAAAGTGATGGCGATGTATACAAAGGTTTTATATATTACACCAAAATAAAATATGTATAGTTTTTCTCATGTGGTACCTAGATAATTTAATATCGGTATGCATAAATAGATGTTTATTATACTTATCCACCATTATACATTTTTGCTATACATTTTGAGACAGCAGCAGTTAATTTATGATCCATTTGAACAAAATGTAAAGGTGTCCGAATATTTAATTGTTTGGGCTCGTACTATGCCAAGGACGAAAAGGCTTTGTAGTTTTTCAAAATCGGTCCAGTGGCGGTGGAGTAGGGGGCCACAAAACGAAGAAAAAAATCGCTGATACTTTTTGACGTCTTAGAGGCTCCTAAACATTTTCGAAAAAGAAATTCGTAGTGGTTGAAATTCATGTGTTGGGCTTGTAGGGATGAGAGAGGGTATACAAAAAATGTTTGATATCAGTATATTTATACGCTCCTAGTTGGCTAATTCTATGCACCTATTAGCCATATTTCACTCATAGATTTCCTCGTACATTTGCCTTTAGAACATGGTCTGCTTAACCTCACCGCTCGGCGAACCGAACATATATATATAGTATAAATCTGAAACACTTCTCGAGCAATAAAGAAAAATCGGAAATAAATTTTATTTTTGGCACCCTGTATCTCGCAAACTATCAACTGTTGGACTAAGGTATGCTAAGGTTTCGAGATTTTCCTACCTTTCGCAGACACCCTGTATATAGGGAATCGACAAATTTAAAGCGTAGTGACTTAAATCTCGAGCTTCTGACAGAGTATGCTGTCATATTCAGGAGTTATTTGGTGAGGTTTCTGCTAAATGGTTTTTTATAAAAATACGTAGATGAGACTGCTTGTTAGTATTATAAAGACAAAAAACTGGACAGATTGGGTTTGTTGTTAAGTACGGAACACATAGTTATGCGCAACAAACTTTTTTTTATAAACCCGAACGGATTAAAATTTGGAAAGATTAATCAAATTATTAAAAACTAAAAAATTTTTTTTTTCACATTGTACGACTTGCATTTCCGTTGTCCATATCCAAATCTCGATGCAACGATTCCGCGCAGGCGTGGAAAGGGACAACGTTGTCAAATGGACAGTAATTACCGGTAGGGTAGGGGTAAAATGTCTAAGGAGTAATTGTATGGGCCTGTTCGACTGACTTGATCCAATTAATTTCTCTGTTGTACATGTTCGTAGCTGACTTTTTTCTCAGAGGATTTAAATTGCTCTGAACTTAATACTTTATGAACTGATGGCGGCGTTGCATGCCGAGTCAACCTACTGGAGTCTTTCTTGAAGGTTCTCTTAAACTGGAAACGCCTCACGGTTTTTCTTAATTGCTTGCCAATAGGCTGCCTTTGAACCAAATATTTTAAAAAATGAGTCGACGATGTTTTTTCACAAATTTGTGGTAACCCTTTAAGTGTCACATGATCAATTGACTGAACATTCCTAAGAATTTGCTTCTGGTGAAAGGGGCATGTAGCGTTTCACGTGAGAGTCCATACTAATGCTAGAGGAACTAAATTGTCAATTTCATTCAAACTTCGCAATAAAATATGCCAATAGAGTCATGATTTTCATACATATCTATAAATTGTAATCAAACGAAAATATCACCGTCAAGAAGGACTATGACAATGCATTCATCCCTAAGCCTTTTCGGATGTTGCGTGAATACCGATATATCCAGGAGTATGTTGTGGTGTGACATGGTCGTCAATATAAGTGACTCCCAATGAATAATATGCGACACTGGCAAGTCCCATAGCAAGTTGGAATAGATGAGCCATAACAGTGTTCATGTCTATGGTGAAGTTCCTTTTGACTTGGATCTCAATGACTCGACTTGTGTTCTTACTACAAAAGGTGAGCGCTGAAATTATAAGAATTGCGTGTAAGCTAGGACTCAGGAATGTCTGCTCTACGGGGGAGAAGTTGGAAAACGCTTTCTTATTCATTTCTAGATTATAGTAGCGATAATAGTTTAATCATATTAGCAAATTTAAACAGACGTAAAAAATGGATACACCAATTTTTGTGGGAAAACTTTCTATTCGACAACAAATAATGAGAAAACGTGTTTTTTGGGATTGAAGCGAAAGTGTTGACAGGAACAAAAATAATTTCACGCAACTACGTGAAATTCTTCAAACCCGTAGGATTCATGCTTCTAAATAACAACAACAAAATTGGAATATATTGGTCAAGTAGTTTTTGGGAATTTCTAATTGTTTATCCCAAAACACCTCTCTTCCAGCGATCACTACTAGTTTATTGAGCAATATACAGGTTTGTGTTCGCGAAAAACAAAGGTTACGTTTTTTTCTTCTAAACAAATTCAAGCATTTCGTATTTGTGAGTAATTTAACAAATGCGCTATGATATTCAAAAAACATAACACATTTTAAAACAAAGCGCATGTGTCTATCATCTGTTGTTGCGAATTACTCACAAATACGAGATGTTTGAATTTGTTTAGAAGAAAAAACGTAAACCACCCTTTTTTGCATAAAAATAACATTTATCTTCCGGAATGGTTTGCAATTCATAAATCGGCAATGTAAACTAGTGTATTTTGCTATAAACTATAGTAAGCTTCAAAATAGTTCGATTTTTGTTAAACAAATCTTCGTTCATCTCAAAAGCTTCAGTTTACTAGAAAAAGTCGCATACAAATTTTTCGTACAAAATAATTAGAAAACATCTACGTTTCATTACCTTTCAAATGAGGTATCAAAGTCACAAATCAATTAAGAATTGGCAAAAATATGACTATTATAAGAGGAGGAAGGAAAACGCAATAAAAATGCTACACTTACAAAATCATACTCTAATACAGGATAATTTGTTTGAAACTACATTTTTTTATTTTTAAAATACATTTTCAATATTGCGCCCTCTATTTCTAATGCACACATGTGCTCTTCTTATGACAGCTGATTTTACTACCGCCGAATTCCTAAGAGAGGCTTGAATTTCTTGTGCTGCATGTATTATCCTGTTTCTGAGGTCTTCTATTGTGGGTACAGGATTTTGATCACAGTATACTAAAGTTTTCATGCGACTCCACACAAAAAAGTCTATAGTTGTGAGATCGGGACTGCGTGCTGGCCATGGGATTGGTCCGCCTTGATTTTTCAGCATGAAGGATACCCAGCACATTTCAGACTAAGTCTTAGAAATTGATTAAATGAGCAGTTTCCGAATCGATGGATCGGTAGAGGCGGACCAATCCCATGGCCAGCACGCAGTCCCGATCTCACACGTATGGACTTTTTTGTGTGGGGTCGCATGAAAACTTTAGAATACTCTGTTCAAAATCCTGTACCCACAATAGAAGACCTCAGAAACAGGATAATACATGCAGCACAAGAAATTCAAGCCTGTCTTAGGAATTCGGCGGTAGTAAAATCAGCTGTCATAAGAAGAGCACGTGTGTGCATTAGAAATAGAGGGCGCCATATTGAAAATGTATTTTAAAAATAAAAAATGTAGTTTCAAACAAATCGTCTTGTATTAAGGTATGATTTTGTAAGTGTAGTATTTGTATTGCTTTTTCCTTCCTCCTTTTATAATAGTCATATTTTTGCCAATTCTTAATCGATTTTTGATTTTCATACCACATTTGGAAGGTAATGAAACGTAGATGTTTTCTAATTATTTTGAATGAAAAATTTGATGCGACCTTTTCTAGTAAACTGAAGCTTTTGAGATGAACGAAGATTTTTTTAACAAAAATTTAACTATTTTGAAGCTTACTGCATGAGATAACGTCAATAATGTACATTTGACTATCAATTTTCGTATTTCAGAATATTTTTATTGTAAAACCAAAAAAAAATCACATGAAACACCCAATTTTCAAGTTTTATGACTTGGTTAACGTATAAAGGACGTTAATTTTATAAAGTCTTAAAAGTTAGTATAATTCGAAAACGGCTAATTTTCGGACAGTAGTTCCTATAGTAAAATCGACTCAGATTGGCTTGTACTATTTCCCCCCATCGGCTCCGCATCTATTTTCCCGCCACCCTGTATATTCCTCAATAAACTAGTATTGGTGGCCGGAAAACAGGAGTTTTTTTTGGCATAAACAATTAGAAATTTTCAAAAACTACTTTACCAATCTATTCCAATTTTGTTGTGGTTATCTAGAAGTATGAATCCTACGTTGAAGAATTTCACGTACCTGCGAGAAACCATCGTCGCATTACCAACAAGTGCCAAAATCTGCAGCATGCCTCGGTTTTCGACCATAACTTTTTTGCTAGTAGTCGGATCTTTTTACGTGTTGTGTCATTTTGTAGGTTTCTCATTACCTAAAAATCTTATATAAAGAGTTTTTTCGTTCCTGCCAACACTTCCGAAAAAACACGTTTTCTCATTTTTTGTAGTCGAATAAAAAGTTTTCCCACAAAAATTGTTGTACCCATTTTATGCGTCCATGTTTTAAATACACCCTTGGACAACTTGCAGCAATAAAACCAGACTTTGCAGTTATGATGAATGTTCGTCTAATATGATGAGACTATAACGCATGACTGTAGTAGATAATGTGATCGCAAATCCAAATACCATAAGATTTTTTTGTATTGTATAACTTCTGCATCAAGAAAATCCATGTTCATTTCCATATCTTTTAGACATTTTTCCAACCCCGATTTGAAATTTGGACATGTGGACGGATTTCTAAGTAGAAAATAAAAATATTCCAGATCGTTCCCAAATATCCTTTTTGTATGTTTTGTGGTGTTTTGGAATAATTAAAACATTTAAAGATAGAAATGTTCATGGAATTTGATTTTCAGTAAAGTGAATTTTTGGATAAAGGCTACGTCTGATTTCTCTTGTTTACTACAAAGACCATCGACTCAATCTATTTTTATGGCTGAGAAAGTTCTTCAAATATACTCCAAATATTTCAAAAACTACTCGTGTAGATAAAAAAAATACCTTTCAATTTCTTTTTGTTGGAAAAATAAATTATGCAACTAAGCAGGTTCTTCTACAATCAATCGCCGAATATTCAAGAAAGTTGAAGGAATAAGACTATGTAGGTTTTCACGTTGGCCGATTCATGGTTTGGATGCAAAACGGGAAAATCGATCTTTACTTCTAATTACCGTAACTATATTAGAAACGTGCAACATTAAAACATGTCACATTTTAATAAGTCAGTATTTAGAAGTCATTTTGGATAATAGGCAGTAAAAAATATAATTAATGTTATTCCTTTACTGAAGTCATGTTATGTACCACTATCCGTATTTATTGCTGAAATAACACAAGTCCAGAACAGCTTTTCAAGCGTTTTCCATCATTATTATTTATGAACTGTATTAAGCCCGAAAATGCTCTTTAAAAACTGTCTCCTAAAAAAATAAGTTTTGTTTTTGAAACGGCCGATTCGATTCCAATCACTTTAGAGATCAATTTTCACATTTGAAAAGCCCTATTTACACCAATAATGATTTTGTAACAAGAAGTTCCAATTGTATACGTAACGCATGTCCTAAACGTTTTGGCACAAAATATTTATCGGACTTTTTTTAATGAAGAATTTATTCAAATATACACTAGTTATCGAAAGACCATTTCTCCTCAATTCCAAAGATATCGTACTCTTAAAAGATCTGTAATGACGAGGCTGTCTCAATGTTGACATTCCAACCTGACTTTTTGCTCTTCTCACCAATGTCTCTGACCTCTGTGCAGCAAATGCACGTGTTCTTCCACTTTTTGGGAGATTCAGACATGGTATTCCCTGCACACACTCCGCTTTTGTTCGATAAATGGTTCTGCGTGAAATGTTTTCATTCGGGAATATTCCACAGATTTTAGCTTTGGGGTACCCGCTTAACCTGCGTGTAGATTCTTTTTCTTATTTCTAATTTATACGACACCTTAAAGCGAAAACTTCAGAATAAATGAATGTCAACTGACAGTAGAGTAAGTGAAGAAACTTTTGTTTCCAAAGGCAACTATTTTGTGTTTGTTAAAATTAAAGCCAATGGATTTTGTGCCAAAACTTTACACACGTTATGGGTAATTTGAAAACTAAGCATATCGTCGGACATCTGACAATACCTGCAATAACAGCTTTTTTAACAATTGGATAATTTATATTTGGGTACCCTCTTAACCAGCTTGTAGATTCTTTTTCTTATTTCTAATTTATATGATACCTTAAAGCGAAAACTTCAGAATAAATAAATGTCAACTGACAGTAAAGTAAGTGAACAAACTTTTGTTTCCAAAGGCAACTTGATATTATTTTGTGTTTTTTAAAATTAAAGCCAATGAATTTTGCGCCAAAACTTTTAAAACACACGTTATGGGTAATTTGAAAATTAAGCATATCGTCGGACATCTGACAGTACCTGCTATAACAGCTTTTTTAACAATTGGATAATTTATATTTGTCTTTTTTATCATGTACTGTTTAGAGAATTGTTTTAGTATCATTTTTTGTTTTTTCCCTGCCTGTTAATTGGATCACTCTGTTCAGGCAGTGTATGGATTATTATAAATAAATAAAATATGCAGGAACCGTAATTTTACAGGGGACGAAAAAACCTTATCAATTTTATACTAACGGTCTTAAGACTCTACAACTTTGGTCACAAAACATAAATGACGTTTAACACATTTAATGCGTTTTTATCTAAATGAAGCTCTAATTGACAAAATTAGTGCAGATAGCTGATATTTCTGCTAACTTTCTTTGCAGTTAGCAGATATTGTACTATGATGCATAGATGGATTTAGTGAGATTCGTGTTATAAAAACTGTTATTCATTATATATAATAGCATGCATTTACAGTTACACCTTAAATGAACGTTCAGCTTCTTTCCTTGGCATATGGCAAATTGTAAAACATGTGACAGCCCTTAGATATAACACTTATAGTCTGAAATGATGGGTAGCTGTTTTGGTCTCATAGGCAACTCCTGAGGCTCTACATTGGAGTCTAGTTTCACTTCAATTTTTTCATCGGGATTATAACATAGTACTTTGATGTCTGTGACTACATTGTCCCTGCCTAGTCTAATTGTTAATTATTGCTGCACCTCTGTTCGAGAGTAGTCCTTGAAGAAGTCGTAACTCAATTGGATCACCTCATATGGCTCTGGTTCTGTCCTAGCTTCTTTTGACGCTTTAACAAAGTCATTTAGTAATTCAATAACTCTATTTTTCAGTTTTATTTAAATGCAACTGTGTACAGAGTCACATTCCATTTGGGTGTGTCCTTTGGTGAGATATTTCTGAGAAATCACAACGTTGTGTATAATTGCAAAGTTAAGAAAAATAGCACGCGTAATTGTCAGATAGCTGGAATTGCCGCTCATTGACAGACGTGTTACCAGTGATAGGTGTTTTTTTAGCTGAATAATTCAAAAACTAAATTTTTCTGCAGTTAGCGGACTCTTTCACAATGTGCGCTGTCGGTAGACGAACAAAAATGTGCATATACCTCAAATTGGGCAAAAATTTCAGATAGCAGGTATTGTCAGATGTCAGACGATATGTGAATACGCGGGAGTACCAGGTCAATCCACTTGAGACCATTTCCTGAACAAGTGAGTGCCCTTCAGCGAAATTTCCAACTTGCCATCGTATAATGTATTTGGCGAGATAAGATGTAGGTGTGTAAATCAGAAGGAGTGAAAATAATATATCCTGGGAATTACCTGTAATGGCTCTATCTATTTCAGTCGCATTGTAAGGCTTATAAATCTCAGGAATAGCCAAAGTTGCAGCCGCCAAGGCGAGAAATATCGTTAAACCTCCTATCCAACAGGCGCGGTGAGTTCGGCTTCCCCAATAAGCCACAGCAAATGCGAATATACCGCCTTGTACTTCGCCGGCATAGATAAACCAACCTGAAGAAATGAGAGACGAACTTTTAATGGTTATGGTTATGAAACTTTCACACAATGAAAAAGTATGAAGGATGGCTCCTTATCCGCACAAACGGCATTACTGCCGTACGGGGGGTATCAGATAAAACACACGGTGGGCCATTAGAGTGTTGGCGATTTAAATCTCAAATTTCTCGGAAACGCGGGTTAAGGGGTGATAAATTTAGTCGCCATGGAGCCTTACATGGGAGCGCAGCGTGCATTTTTTGTCCGAGCATATTATGAAAACAATAAATCGGTTATTACTGCACGACGTTTGTATCGACACCAACACGGTTTACGCGGTTTAAGAGAAGTTCCAAGGGCCAATGATAATAATAATAATTTTAATAATCCGGCTTTATTTATACAAAGTATAAAAAGGCGAAGTGTCGCTAAAAAGCGTTTTTCAACTTAACCCAACAAATATTTGTGTAAATTTTCTAATCCCAATAAAAACAAAAAAGTTAAAAAAAACCTGTAACGGGTCCCTATTCATGGCCATGGTCTACTTACTGGGCAATGAAATCGGAGATAAAATCCTTCAATCTTTTTTTGAAACCCTTTATAGAGTAGTGAGTGTATAGCAGTATATGTGTACGACCTCTTAAATATACTAAGTGACATATAAATCCGAACACCCAGTTTAAATGGTTTTATTTTAATAAAATTTTGTATAAGTACTTAATGACGCATAATAAGTAATAAAAAATTCAAAATGATTGCACTGCTTTAAAGCCCTTTGACCTTTAATAATGTGTGGATGCACCCTGATGTGCTACACATTCTCCAGCGCGCCTAGGCATGCTTCTGATCAGGTGGTCAATGTCCTCCTGTGGTATCTCATTCCATGCGATCACCAACTCCTCTCGAAGTGCATCTAGAGTCTGAGGAGGACGTTGCAAATTGAGCAATCTCCTACCCATCATATCCCACACGTGCTCAATTGGGGATAAGTCGGGAGATCTTGGTGGCCATGGTAACAATGTGACATCATTATGTTGAAAGAAGTCTATTGTGACTCTTGCAACATGTGGTCGGGCATTATCTTGTTGGAAAGTTGGATCTGCCAGGGTGTCAAGATAGGGTAAAAGATGGGGTTCTAGAACTTCGTGGATATAACGCTGCGCGTTCATGTTACCTCTGATGGAGATTACAGGTGACCTGGAACCATAAGCTATAGCACCCCAAACCATAACTCCAACAGTGTGATGAACATGTCTTTCAACAAAAAACTGTGGATTCCTCCTTTCACCACGTCGCCTTCTAACCCTGGCACGACCATCGTGCATGCCTAAACAAAATAGAGACTCGTCACTAAAGACAATACTGTTCCATTCCTGACCCCAGAGTGACCGTTGTCTGCACCACTCAAGGCGATTACGTTGGTGTTCTCGAGTTAAAGGGAGGACCCAGTGTGGCCGGTGTGAAAACAAGCCAAAACTTCTCATTCTTCCGTGTTCTGCAAACCATTCATTTGCAATAGACCTGGTAGTGGAGAAACGGTCCCTTAAGGCCAATAATCTTAGGCGGCGATCTTCACGGTATGTTGTTCTACGGCGGCGTCCAGTGCCCCTTGCTGTTTGCGTACGGCCTTCTCGAAGCCATGCCTGACAACACCTAACCACAGTGTCTACACTTCTTTGCACTCTAACTGCAATTGCCCGAAAAGAATGTCCAGCTCACCGAAGTCCCACTATACGGCCCCTATCAAACTCACTAAGTTGACGAAATCGTACAGGTCTCCGTACTCTAAGCATCGTAACCGATCGTAAAGGATGCCAAGAACCAAAATCCGCCAACGTTGATTCTTTACTGCGGCTGAAATATTCATTTTTAGAGCGTTAGTGAATTAAAAAAAGCAGTATAAAAACCGGAATGTCCGACTGATAAGGCTGAAATTTTTTTCACTTGTTATTTACAGTAAGATAAATGCATTCACCAACTTTTATTAAAATAAAACCATTTAAACTGGGTGCTCGGATTTATATATCACTTAGTATAGAGATGTCTCGGGACAATCAAGATATGCTTATTATTTGTGTTCAGTTGATTAACATCTGAGTATCTGGTAAATTTGGTTGATAGATATGGAGGGACTTATGTTGTGATTACTTTATGGGTCAAGGTCAATACGTGCATTTTTTTTAAGCTCTTCTACTACTAAGTGACATATAAATCCGAACACCCAGTTTAAATGGTTTTATTTTAATAAAAGTTGGTGAATGTATTTATCTTACTGTAAATAACAAGTGAAAAAATTTTCAGCCTTATGAGTTGAACATTCCGGTTTTTATACTGCTTTTTTTTAATTCACTAACGCTCTAAAAATGAATATTTCAGCCGCAGTAAAGAATCAACGTTGGCGGATTTTGGTTCTTGACATCCTTTACGATCGGTTACGATGCCTAGAGTACGGAGACCTGTACGATTTCGTCAACTTAGTGAGTTTGATAGGGGCCGTATAGTGGGACTTCAGGAAGCTGGACTTTCTGTTCGGGCAATTGCAGTTTAGAGTGCAAAGAAGTGTAGACACTGTGGTTAGGTGTTGTCAGGCATGGCTTCGAGAAGGCCGTACGCAAAGAGCAAGGGGCACTGGACGCCGCCGTAGAACATCAGACCGTGAAGATCGCCGCCTAAGATTATTGGACTTAAGGGACCGTTTCTCCACTACCAGGTCCATTGCAAATGAATGGTTTGCAGAACACGGAAGCCCTATTGGCATGCGAAGTGTTTACCGACGAATGAGAAGTTTTGGTTTGTTTGACAACGGTCACTCTGGGATCAGGAATGGAACAGTATTGTCTTTAGTGACAAGTCTCGATTTTGTTTAGGCATGCACGATGGTCGTGCCAGGGTTAGAAGGCGACGTGGTGAAAGGAGGAATCCACAGTTTTTTGTTGAAAGACATGTTCATCACAGTGTTGGAGTTATGGTTTGGGGTGCTATAGCTTATGGTTCCAGGTCACCTTTAATCTTCATCAAAGGTAACATGAACGCGCAGCGTTATATCCACGAAGTTCTAGAACCCCATCTTTTACCCTATCTTGACACCCTGTCAAATCCAACTTTCCAACAAGATCATGCCCGACCACATGTTGCAAGAGTGACAATAGACTTCTTTCAACATAATGATGTCACATTGTTACCATGGCCACCAAGATCTCCCGACTTATCCCCAATTGAGCACGTGTGGGATATGATGGGTAGGAAATTGCTCAATTTGCAACGTCCTCCTCAGAGTCTAGAAGCACTTCGAGAGGAGTTGGTGGTTGCCTGGAATGAGATACCACAGGAGGACATTGACCACCTGATCAGAAGCATGCCTAGGCGCGTTGGAGAATGCGTTGCACATCAGGGTGCATCCACACATTATTAAAGGTTAAATGGCTTTAAAGCAGTGCAATCATTTTGAAATTTTTATCATCTACTTATTATGCTTCATTAAGTACTTATACAAAATTTTATTAAAATAAAACCATTTAAACTGGGTGTTCGGATTTATATGTCACTTAGTATATTTCTTGAACACCCAGCTCACGATATTTATGTGATACTGTCTCAAATTTTCTCACTCCACAAGAAAATCTAAGACGCATTTTGAATAGTCTGAAGTCTCCTTATCTCAATCGATCTTAGTTCAGGCCCATAAATACAGTCACAGTAGTGAATTCAAGACCATATCATCCATGCTGTGCATTTAAGGGAGTTTTTCATGGAAAAGATAAAAAGAATTCTATGTTATGTTGATTTCATTAACAAACTGCCCGACACAAGAGTGAACAAAAGTTGCACCAAGACGACATGTTACTATCAGTAGCTGGGTTATGTGTAAATGAAGTTAAAAATTCTTAAAGGAAAGAGATCAAAAAGATCGCGGAAAGGTTGGTACCATTTTTGAAGAAAAATCGTTGGAGTATGATTTTTTCTATGATAACTTTTAATATGTATTCACGTTTATTACCATAGTTTTTATTTGTTTCTTCTATGGTGTCTATATGCTTGTGTACTTTCCTAGTGAATTCTTTAGCGGGCTTTTTTCACTTCATTATTGTATTTACGATTTTGAATTCCTTATGTACTTTTTCACATTCTTTGTAGCCCTGAGGGAGGGATAAAATGCACGCCGAAACGGTAGCAATTTGATTGAAGATACTTTTTGACACCTGTTGATTTATCTCAAGAATCCGAAGAAATTGGAAACACAAACTTAAAGTAGCGAAACGCCTCCCTTTAGATAACGAAATTTAGGAAACTTTCGGCTATGAAATAGTTCTAAGTAATTCATAACCTAGAGGAGGACTACCCCGTTCCTTTATCCTCTACATGATAATCTGCTTACGCCCTGTTTAAGCCAGTTTTTGCTCTAAAATACTTGATGCATTAAAATTAGAAAACATATTGCTTGAAATACGTTACAAAGTGACCTTTTGTATGACTACACTTAAACAAAATTTAGTCGTTTAATTTAACAGCTTTTTGAAAGGAACTGTGAAGTCTACTTGGCTTCTTTTTTTTTGAATCGCAGTGTTCTGGAAATCATAGACTTTATATTACAGTAAACTTTCTCAAAACGAAAATAATGTAATGGATATCATAACTTATTAGGTTAAAATATTTACCAACAACATTCTTGGGCATATCGTAATGCTCTCCCCAAAGTTCGGCGGTTCCTCTCACGTAGTTCAATAGTACTCCGTGGACAAAGCCCAACATGGCGAGTACTATCACAAAATACCCCAATCTAACCAACCTTTGCAGCTTCAACCAATTGGAAACCTTGGAAGGGAGGATCCTGAACCCACAATCGACATCATTGAGGTAGTTCCCAGCGGGAGCTACTACATTCCAGATAATGTCGCTTGGACGAACCATTTCGATCACTGCTAATCAATCACGACTAATCACCGATTGCTGTTTAACGCTTAGATGCACGGGAACGACTGTACTTTTCTTTTACCTGCACTCGTGCAGGTCTGGATAAATTAGGCAAGTGAAATTATGCAGAACTAAGTTTTGAGACTGACTCAGGTGGGGAGGTAGCACCATAGACGGCGTTGGTCGATTTTACGGTAGTCAATTTTTGTATTCCTTATTTTTGTGGAGAAAAAATGTTCCCCAAGAGATTCTTCTCCTAGTTCCTTTGCCGTTGGAAGGATTCGTTATGCTGGAGACCATGTCAAGAGTAATAGATAGACAAATAGATAAATAGATAGATGTTTATTCACTTGATATTGGATAAACCATGATTACACCGCATTTAGTAGTCGCTCCAATGGGGGCAAAGTTGCATATTTAGATAGTCACAAAATGCCGCTTAGAAAGTTTCGAGATTCAAATTACTTGCGGAGACAGGTGGAAAAAACGAGTTATCCTGAAATCGTTTTAAATTTTTCTTGATTTTATTTGTAGTGGGATGTTAAAATAAATTGCATAATATTATTACCACTTTTTCAATTTCAACATGACGTTCCATCTCGTATCCTCCAGCAGCAGCTTTATTTTTCCTAATGGACGCCCTATTGGATTTTTGCGCAGAAGAATAGAGTTGCTGATTTTGAATTCGAAAAAAATAATATGTCATACATGGATGTTTCCAAACCCTAGTTATTCCAGAAAAACATAAGTTTCTAGATGGGCCTTGAAATTATCAGATTTCACCTGTCTCGTATACCAGACCAGACCTCAAATTGGACAAAGCAACAGAGTTTGGAAGACTGACAAGACGAGAAATAAATAACAATAATAATAATAATAGATGTCTTGATTAGCAACACAACAATAGGGCGAAGTGTAGCCAGTTGGCTACTCTTACATCCAACCCTATTGTGTGATTAAATATATAATAAAAATAAATACATCGATCTGGCTTTCAACTAAGTGAGCTAATAATAAAGGGAAAAAATACAATCAGTTGATAAATCCGCGCTATATTGGTTTACCAAAAAGGAAACAGTCAAGAACCAACACTGAACGGATGACAACAAAAAAAAAACATAAAGATAACAACTAATTATGATACATCTAACAGCGGATTTTTAAGCAGCTTCCTGAATGTTACTACACTTTTGCTTCTCCAAGCAGGGTCGGTTGAGTTTTATAACCTCACAGTATTGAAAGTGAAACATTTTTGAAACAATGCGGTGTAGTGCAAAGGCATTGTCAGATTATTATTATTATGCCTCAGATCTCTAAGATTAATGATTCCTCTAGTTACCAATTTACTATGGAGATAGATGGGCTTTTTAGTACACAATATCTTATGCACAAATACCATAAGACTATATTCAAATTGTTGATCCATTTTCAGGCATTTCAACTCCTTGATCTTTGAGGAGACATGACTATATTTTCGAAGAACATACTCAAACGTACAGCAGTTGTTTTGCATTCTTTGGATCCTACACCGATTCATCGAGTCAAGACAAGGATAGTATAAGGTTAAAGCGTAGTTGAGGCTGGACATTATCAAACTTTCAACTAGCTTCTTACGCGTTTTAAAATTCAAAATGGATCTATTAGCATATAGCAGTCTCAATTTGATGTAGGTGGACTTCGTTAGATGACACATATGTCTGTCAAATCTTAAACTATCGTCGAAGATGACAACAAGATTTTTTGCTTGTTCCACAATAGGAATGAGCTCGTTGTTGATGCTCAATGCAATTCTGTCCCTTACTCTATTATGCAAATGTTTAGGATAAAAAAGTATGCAAGTACTTTTATCCGGATTAATCTTCAACATGTGTCTTTTACAAAAATCAGTGATGTTAGCAAGATCACAATTTATCTTATATGACACTTCATCCAGATGAGACAAGTCAAAATGAAAAGAAAGCTGCGTTTCATCCGCGTAAGTTTGTATAGCACAATGCTCAATACATGAATGTAAATCAAAAGTATATATCAAATACAGCAAAGGACCTAAGACAGAGCCGTGAGGGACACCTGAAGAAACGGCAACAGAAGAGAGACACCTCTAACTGTCTTCACCTTTTGTTTACGATTAGTTAATCGTTAATCGAGCAGTGAGCAATGTACAGAGAGAAGTCAGGCTATGCTTACAAAATAACGGACATTTTGAACATCTGCTATGATTTATCTCTGCTTATTTATGATTATTATTGTTATTGCCATCAATAACATTTTGATGTTGTGTTCAGGTTGCACCGTACCTTTTTATTTCCTTATAAATGTTCATCCAAATATGTCGAAATGGAAATTTGACTACGCCATATTGTACAAGAGAATAAGCAACTATGATAACATTTTTTTCAAATACGGTTTAACAATGCCAATATTCTACGTATTATCCATCATAATTAAAAACTCTATTCATCTGTGCAAAAATCCAATATGGCATCCGTAAGAAAAAATAAAGTTGATGCTGGAGCACAAGAAACAAAACGTCGTATTGAAATTCCAATTATGCCATCTTGCAGAGGAAGTTCCAATGTTAGTGTCCAAGTTATTTTAAAATCCCACTACTAATAAAGTCAGGAAAAAAATTAAAACAATAATGAGAAAGAAATTCGTCAGAGCAACAAACATTCAAATGCATACATGACATTATACAAACAAGCTACAAGCTTAAAATGAATAGAATACAGTATGACAGAAGCAGCTTGAAAAGAAGAACAAGTAAATAAAATACATAAACAAGTAAAAGTAAAATAGTTATTACAGCACCAACACTGGCAAGTGTTGAAATCACTGAGATATTAACTGACTGAATAGTAGCTCTTTTGTATTAAAACTGCTTTTATCCTTCTTTTGGGGAGTACCTTTACGTTTGACGGCACTTTATTAAAACATTTGATGCCCGTATACCTAGTTTCTATTATGTATAACCTATGTTCAGGAATTTGTTCTTCGTCACCATCGGTCCGTGGCTGCTCAATGCCGTGAATGATCCATTATTTATTGCTGTCATTATTCCAGATCTGAATAATATGTCTCTGCAACTTTGTCTGTTATCGCCTAATGGCTGTACTAGATGCTCCCCAAACGATGATATCAACGAATCAAAATGAGCGAAGTAGAATTTAGGTACGACTGATTATTCTGCTTGAAATCGCAGCTGGCTTGTACAGAAGATGGCAGACGCAAGCTTTTTGCAAAAAAGTTTAATATTATGTCTTCCACCTACAGTTTTCTGACAGTGGTGCACTTAGAAATTTCACTGACTGAACTTGCTAGATAATGATCAGAAGGCTTGTAGTATTTAATACTACTACATTTAATACTACCACTGTTGCGCCTTTCTCAGCTCAGTTGTGCCTTTTTGCACAAGCTGAGGCGTGTTGGAGGCCCTTATTGGGATGGATGTGTCATCAGATTTTATTATGTGATGCTACGGAAATCGTTGACAAAGATTAGGTATAGGAGTGGGCATAGAATTGAACCTTGCCGTGCCTATCAATTTCATCACACTGAGTTTTATTGCCTAGATAACTACTAATCTATTTTAGTGGTTGCCCTCTAATACCATATCCTTAGAGCTTCTGCAATAAAACTGCACGGTTTACAAGGTCGACATTTGAGCCATTGTGTTATTTGTTGTGACGATTTGATGTTACTATCACAGTATTCTACGGAAAACATGCGAAAATCTCAATCTTCGTCGCTCGTTCAACTTTTTGGCCACTAGCCTTCCTATTATACCGTATCGCCGCCTATGGTTCAAACAGTAGGTGCTTTACCAATATGTTCATGTCTAAATTTCTCGGACTAAGCCAATCAAAATCATTTGTCATAAAACTATATCATCCATCTGGTACGGTGGTGGGAATTATCACCACAATAATTTTGAATCTTGCTTCTTGGATTTTTTTGCTGTGCGCTTTGTTTCTTATCTAGTTGTTATTCGAATTGAAGCCCATTACGCGCTGAAACAAAAATCAATAGTTGAATTGAAATATGTCGCCTCAGCAATGCATGATGAGAAAATGGTATCAAGGTGACCTGAAACTGCACAGGCAGTAATATGTGTGTTGTATCTTGAAGTATAAATAGTTCTACGGTTTTTTTCATGTTTTTCTGTGTTTGACACACGTTTGTAGTAATTTTCGAAACCAAAAGTTAAGGCTTACTTGAGAATTAACTGATTTCTGGGCTATAAAGGGTGCCCCAATAGGTACTTCGGGATTTTGTTTTTAAATAAAACAAATTTGTAGAACGTATGGAAGTTGTATTAATAATATTTTCCAATAAGTCTCCATCTGTTGCTTCTGTATATCACACCGTAGTTCGACTGAATTTTTCAGTGAGCTTTTGGCACATTAGGGGCTCCTGTTTAATGAAAATGATATACAGGGTGTTCGAAAAATAGATGGAGATATTTTAGAGGGTGATTCTTTGTTAAAAAATTTGAAAAAAAGAGGGCGATAGATTTAAAAAGTAATTATTAATATCTTGAAAAGTATTCACTCGATTCTGTTGAAATTTGGCAATATTATTTGCTCTATTAAGATGCTAATTTAGCTCTGAGTAGATCGAAATTATTAGGTCCAGTAGCGCCCCGGGGGTACCTTATCGAATATTATTGGCAACAAAAGGTACGCCACTGCCCTTTTTGTAACTTTAATATTTGTTGTTCGTTTAAGAATCTAAAAATACAACTTCGTTCCTTTTTGTATTTTTTTGTATCTCACCTCGTTATCGAGAAAAAAAATAAAAACCGCTTTATGGCATGTCACTGGACAAAATTGGTTTATCAATTTTGCCTTGGAAAACAAAAAATCATATCTGCATGGAGGTTTGACATTTTCACGTCATTTCTCCTGGAAAAGAATTATTCACCTAATTTTCTTTGCGAAATTTCTCTATAAAGCTTTTGTATCGGTTTTTGTGATGGAAAATTGCGCTTTTGAGGAAATGGCAGACATCTATGCACGTGCTTATAGTAACTGCATAGAGAAGCGTTTCCCAATCAGCAACTTCCAGATGGCAATCGC